TCTCATTTGAACAAACAAACTCAAACTCTTTCACATATGCAATTTTTCAAATATCACAATGGGTGTTTTATACCAAAGAGTCCATATTACTGCCAGAAGATTTCTTAATAAGCTTTAAAAAACACGCGCTCAATCAGTTAAAAACTCAGCAATGCTTGACCAACACGTCACTAAAGTCAAAGTCAAAGTCAAAGTCACGCACGTAATTCTCAAGTCTGGATCTGTTTTGTTAAATTTACTTCACCTCAATTATTGGACCTCAATTACTGTCAACTTTTATAGCATCGTTAATATATATATAAAAAATATGAATTAATTTTAAAATTAACAATATTTATTTAAAATGTTCAAAAATTAATATAAAGTCTTGATAAATGTACAAAAACAAGTAGTGAAAGTTTTTTGTTTTTATAATTAGAATTTTTTTAAAACAAATTAGCAATTATAGATTATTACTTAACTTACTTTTGTGTTGAGATACAAAATTTTAATTTGTACACACTTTAATTAACGTCTAACGTCTAACGTCTATAAAAGTTACACAAACAAGTAGGAGTTCATTTGGTTTTAGTTCACATTTGAGATACTCGCACAAAACACACTCACTTTTATTAAAACAACAAAGGTAAATCCGCTTATCTTTTTGTTTTAAGTGTTTGCCTTCGTGTGCAATGAATAAGAATAATTTTTGTCTTCTTTTTTTTTTTTTGAAAAGTTTATGACTCCAACACAACTCGGTTTTACGCAGCATCCCGAATCTGTGTAAAACGATTTGTCTATTTGTCTCACGTTCTCGTACACAACTTTAAATCGATGTTGAAAAAAGAATGCTCACAATATTTGCGTTAAAAATCTTAACTTTAGTTCTCACACATTAATTTATTCGGTTTGTAAATACAAAATTTATAGCTTTTTAATATTTGAGTTTCTAATAAACTTTTTATTTTTTGAAAAATATATTAATATATTAATTAATGTTTGTAAATATGTATATCGATCTACTATCTATTAGATGTTTGAAAAATTTTTAACATAAAAGTGAAGTACAATTTTACTATCAATATTAATAACATTATTAATTGATTCATTTTGCTATAATTAAAACTAAATTATTTAAATTTAAAAAGTAACCATAAAAAAAGAAATAGTAAAAAAATAAATTTAATTAAAAATAAGTTAAATTTAATTGCCAAACGCGATTTTTAATTTTTTATATTATATATTTTTAAGCAAATCTTAAATCTTCTTCCATTATAATTAATATTTTACTATTAATAAATATTTAAGTTATAAGCACTTCACACTATGCGAGTTAATGTTAAATGGTTGCTTCGCCATCTAAAGCTATAGCTGTTGTATATGTATTTATTGTTTTTAACCTATCTTAAAGCGATCTGGCACAACATGGCAATTTTTGCACAAAATTTATTATTTTTCCACTTTCGCATCGCTTATTTTATAGCAGAATTATAGCAAACATTACTTACAATTATAGCAGTATTATTGTGTAAAAATTGTGTAAGTGATTTTTTTCCTATTTGCTTGTTTCATTCAGCGTCATTCTCTTAATAATAATATTGACTCTTTTATTGTAGAAATTGATTTTTTATTGCAGATACTGATAAAACGTCTTAACATCTTATTTTAACAATATTATTGCAGATAGTAATAACTAACTAATAGTAATTACTAACTAACTAATAGTAATTACTAACTAACTAATAGTAATTACTAATAATTAGTAATAACTAACTATAATTGCAATAGTTGCTTGTCTTTACACGCACTAAAATTCACTCTCAAAATTCACTTTACTAACCCTGAGAGCAAGACTGCAGTATGAGTGTACACTTAAGACAAATTTCATAAGTAGTCTTTAGTTTGCAGTGTGAAGAGCATATAAAAAACCTTATTAAAAAATTTCAAGTATTTTTGATCACACCACGTATAACTCTTTTAATCATTCAGTAAATTGTAACCATTATAATGATAAATCGAATAATATGTTCTCTTGGTTGATTTATTTAATAATGCAAATTAAGATGTCTTCATATTATAAAAAAACAATAAGATTTTAATTGATACTTCTGTTATATATACACATATACTTCTACAATCTTTAAAAGATTATAGAGCAGCAAGAGAATCCATAATGCATAAATTTAATTATAACACTTTTTTGCAGATATGTCAAAGTTTTACCAACACATAAACAACTTCTATAATTAAATAGAAATCCAATATTTTGAAACCTGAATAAATTACTGAAACAATCTTTTTGAATTCATTTTTAATTAAATTCATTTTTGAACAGTAATTCGACAGTATACATTGTCACATAAATTGTATCTCATATCTTATAAACTACATAAATGTGTAGACGAAAACCAACTTCAGCAACATGCTTATGTTCCTAGCAACATTAAATTACTAGCAACATTGGTTTTTAGTTATAAAGCAGTATTGTTGCCAGCAATTTACCAACAGTTTTTGCTACCGTCTTTTTTTGGAAATAATTAATAGCATTATTAATTCATATATGTAAAACATTTTTATAGAATAAACTGTACTTACAACCGGAGGGTGCCATTGATTCGGAGGTCTCCATTCAAAGACACACTAACGTAGTGCTATTCATCTCATCAGGACGGGTCGAATAACACTGCAGATTACGGGTTTTATCGAATTTTCCTCTCTAGATCCATGGTATTCTGTTATGTCAATAAATTATCAATATTAAAATAGGTTCACCTCGGGAAGGGTGTAATGTAGCATCACGCACCATGGCCTTAGTATGGCATAGGCTAATGGTTTACGCGTGACCATACCCTGTTCATACCCCAAGTGTAAAGTGCTTATAAAAAATTACATGAAAACATGCAAAATTAATATAAATTATGGAATGTGTTGCTTAATAAAAGTATATATTGCATTTTAGATTAGCCTAAGCAACGCATTATTTCCATTATAATACCAATATCCTAATTATAAATATAATATAAATTATAACTTTTAAAAGTATTATAAATTATAAATTTGTTATAAATTAAAAATTAATTATAATTTTATTTTAAATCACAAGTTCATTATAAGTTTATTATTAATTAATTATTAATTATAAATTTATTATAAATTATAAATGTATTGCAAATTATAAGTTCATTATAAGTTCATTTTAAATAAAAAATTAATTATAAATTCATTATTAATTTGTTATAAATTAAAAATTAATTATAATTTTATTATAAATTATAAGTTCATTATAAATTTATTATAAATTAAAAAATTTATTATAAATTTATTATAAATTCATTATAAATTAATAATTTATTATAATTTTATTATAAATTATAAATATATTATAAATTATAAGTTCATTATAATTTTATTATAAATTAAAAAATAATTATAAATTTATTATAAATTCATTATAAATTTGTTATAAATTAATAATTTATTATAATTTTATTATAAATTATAAATATATTATAAATTATAAGGTCATTCTAATTTTATTATAAATTATAGGTTCATTTTAAGTTTATATAATTAAAAATTAATTTTTAAATTTTATTATTAATGTATTGTAAATTTATAAGTTCATTATAAATAAAAAATTTTAAATAATTTATTTTTATTTTAAATAAAAAATTAATTATAAATTTATTATAAAATTTTAAATGTCATTATAAATTTGTTATAAATTAAAATTTATTATAATTTTAATATGAATTATTATATATATTATAAGTTATAAATTCATTATAAGTTTATTATAAATTAAAAATTAAATTATAAATTCTCAAATTTATTATAAACTATTAGTATAATTTTTATATGAATTTATTATTTTTAAACTACTATTAACGCTATTATTTTAACAACGAAAGAAAAAACAACAAAATTGCATTTAATCCATAAATTAATTAAAAGGAGTAAGTAATAATGAAAAAATTAATATTTTATTTAATTAATTGATGTTATTTTGGTTGAGCCTGCAGTAATTTCGAATATTCCCAAATACCTATCTTTGGATTTAAAAACCAACTTATATATCCACTGATGTATATTTTGAGATGCAGTACTCGAAGCAGCTGTAGGATCGACTAAAATAAAAGTGGTTCTAATATACAGAAATTTTAATTAAATAAAAAAAAATATTTTTTCACTATTATTACTCCTTACTATTAAAAATTTAATTTTTAAAATAAATTAATTTATAGCTAAAAAAACCTTCATCTAAAAACTGTGCTTCACTTTAAAAAGAAAAAAAAATTAATTGTAAATATAAAATTTAATAAATAATTCCAAATCACTTTTATGTTTAGCAGTTAGTTTAACTATATATTGTTTGTGTTTGTAGATATTTTTTATTACAGAAAAAAAAAAATTAATAAGTGTTTTTTTAATTGTGTTTTCTTAAGTTGCTATATCGATTTTGTAACATTTGCTATTTTTTTACGCCTAAACTCTATAAAAATACACGGAGAAACTTTTTTGTGTTCACAACAACACGTAGTTTGAGTTGCAGTATTGCTACTCGGAATACTTCTGCTTCACTAAGAATTGCACCAAAAACTAAAGTATCTTATGTGTATAAATAAAAATATTCACACATTTTCATAACTATCAGTAACACATTTTCATTACTGTAACTCATCTGCTATGCTCTTCAAAGGACTAACATGAATTACATTACGACATTGTAATAATATGAATATATATATATAAAAAAAAATAAAATTTAGTAAAAAGTAAAGTAATTCATGAAGAGAATAATTTTTATATATATAATTTATTTTTTTTAAAATGTATTTAGTTTATTTATAATATATTTTAAGTATTAATTTTGTTTTTTGTATATTAAAAATTAATTTAATATTTTTTTTATTGATTTACTGTTTTTTTTTTATTTTTTGTTTTTTTGTGGTTATGTACTCTTGTACTTTTTACATGAAATAAATTTCAAATTTTCCACACTCGATCATCTACCATAAAAAAGGGGTTTTTACTTCAAATTCGAAGACGACGATTTACTTCCAAAACAAGAGGCACGGGTTTGGCGACCGCGGAGTTTTCACTACGATAATGTTGCTGCTGCTATGTTAACACTTTTTGCTGTACAGACCGGCGAAGGATGGCCTCAGTAAGATAAATTTTTAGATTAATTTTAACAAATTTCTTTGAAATATTTTCATCACTTGATTTTATTAAATATAACCTAAAATTGTGCTAATATATATATATATATATATGAAATTTATTAATTATATTGCAAAATTAAATAGAGTTCTACAACACTCCATGGCTGCCACATATGAAGATAGGGGTCCAATACAAAATTTCCGGATCGAAATGTCCATATTTTATATTGTATATTTCATTGTATTTCCATTCTTCTTCGTAAACATATTCGTTGCCTTGATTATCATTACATTTCAAGAGCAAGGCGAAGCCGAATTGCAAGACGGTGAAATTGATAAGAATCAGGTGAGCGCAGTAAATTTTTAATTGGAACGTAGATAAAATCTTGTTGGTGTTTAAATGTTGTTATGAATGTAGCTTTCTTAATGTGTTGAATAGTTAAAAATACATAAAAAACTAAAATTTACCTACATATATAATTTGTGTAAAAATAAATACCTCATCATTTGTTAGTGTATTAACTTTGTTTCGTTGTATGTTCTTAAAAGATATTAGATAAATTATTTCGCTATTGTGTTAAAAAATTTCCTTGTAATGCTTTTTTCACACAGAACATAATAATAGTTGCGCTTTGAAACAGTATAGAACACAAACCAATATATCTAATAGTACAAAAATTTCTACCAAATGGTATATAATTATTATATTTTTTTTAAATTTTAAAAAAAAGATACATTCTTGCATATAAGTAAATTATATATATAACTGCTATAGAGTCTACAATGCAGTTCTATTCTATCTTTTTTGAAATAGCTCAAACCTTTTAATAAATTTATATAAATATTTCTTTCCCTTTTGAACTTAGTGAGTTTGTTAAATATAGTATATAAAAATTGAACATTTTCCGGAAGTTATTATAATATTTTATAGAATGTACTTGCAAATATCTTTGAATAAAAAAATTCAAAGTTCTATTTGCAAAGAATAATATATCTTTTATCAAGGTTTGTATATATGTACTAGTGTTACAGGTCTTGAATTAAACTAATTAAACTACATGCGATATGAATGAAAATATTGAAAATTTTCCGAAAATTTATTATTTTTGAAAACAATTTTATATAATTATATTTTTTTTGTAATTATATAATTGAATTTTAATGTTTTCTTTATAAAAGCATTGAAATTCATAAATTTTTCTTATAATATTTTATTTTAGTTAATACATAAAGCGTGTAATATTAATAAGATTTAATTTGAGATAACTGTAGTATTTTTTCATTTAACAATTTATTTTCGTTGTTATTATTTAATTAAATAAACACTAAAGTTGCGTTAAAAATTTAATGAATCTGTAAGCATATATTTATTTTATGTTTATGTATTTATATAGGTTAGGTTAGGTTATACCAGTGATCCCTAGTGAATCCACTTTGGTCTATTGGCCCATTGTGATACCGTATATATAGGGTGAAACCTCAGGGTTTAAAACCACCTAGAACTTTTTGCGAAGCATAAAATGCTATTTAAAGTCATATCCTGTAAATGATCCAGGTCCTCAAGGAAGGGGGCTCTTAAAGTACTAAGTCGCCACCGACTTAGGGGGCTCTATATATAATATATATTCCTTATAATATATAATAACCATCTTTTAGAAAAGCAGACACGTTTTTATAAACATTAGTGCTTATCACTTAATGACAGCTAATTAAATATATAATAAATAGCAGTGGTGGTTTACACGTCAGTTTTATAACGCCTTGAAAAATTG